GGGGGGGGGGGAAGTCCTGCATACATTAAGTGCAGTCAGTCACTACCAGCTAGCTGCATCTCGAAATATGTACTGCTACTCTTGCAGCTCTCATTAAAAACAGGATGCATGTTTTTTAACACTGCTTCTCAAGTATGCAATAGAGCAAGCAAGTTTCTTTCCTATCTCCTTCTCATCAGATGACCATGTAGCTTCAGAAGTTAACACTACTGATCAGATCTGGAAGGGAACAGTGAGGTGGAAGAGTGTTTACAACAGTCATTACGCTGTTGCTTTTAAAGAAAGCAAGTTAAATCTTCCCACTGGTGGTAGAGTTCTCTCTATTCTTGCTGTCTACTTCATAGACGCTTGGAGTCCTCCCACCCCACCTCTACACCACTTGTTTTTCCCTTGTGGCATCAAACAAAGATGAAATAGGGGCATTTTTGTTATTTCTTTGCTTGTGTGACTCCATCACCAATAGCTAGCATGGAAATACTCTCCCACTAGAGTAACTTGTTCTCCCTCTGCTGGTTATGTAGCATTAAAGCAGGCAGTGAATGCTCTTAAAAGCCAGCCACATCCAACTTCAGAGCTCCATATGGAACAGATTTGCATTGGTCACTTCACGTTTTCATTAAATCAAGAAAACCTGTAATTAACAGCTACAACACTAATGAAAAACCATTGCGTGGAATAAAAGTGCAGTAACAAACCCACAGAAGTAGGTCTCTACATCCTTCACTTCTAGGGGCATATATACCTCTTTCCTACAGCAATGCAGTGCTGTTAGAATTAGCCGTACTCCAGATCTCAGGAAAAATCTCTAAAAAGACCACAGTCAAAGTGAAAAAGGCAAATCAAAGTTCACACTCTTTTCCAAGAAGCAGGTCCTTTCAGTTCCCCTTTAATAGTAAAGTGTGGATTCTGCTGTCAAGAATGTTACATGGGTTTTGGCTTCCATACTCACTTTTCTCTATCTGTTTTGTAGATCCGTGCAATCTCAGGCACTAAAGGATCATCTGGATTGGGATCACACAACAGAGAACAGATGGACAAAAGTACTAGGGAGAGAAAAAGAGACACTGAATTAGAGTTTAAGTGCAGCTGAAGACACCTGTAGAAGTCAGCCCGCTCACTGCCTCCCCTCTAGCATCGTTTTTTAAAAAAAAAAAAGTCAAGGAGCAGTAATCCCACATGCTTCAGCCAAGTGATTTTAAACAAAAAGCCTTACCATTTAACTATGCAAATTTGCATGACCATAAGTTTTTAAACATCATCACAATAGGTAACCTCCTAGATAGGTGTATACACCTGCAGCCTTCAGAGGGCAGAAGTGTGTTATCTGAAACTGTACCTGGAAGCCTTCTCAGAAAACATCCTTGCTTTTGCCCTTGATATTCAGCTTTTCCCTAAACCAGACAACCTCATTGGTAATGGCTTGCAGAATCACTAATCAAAAGTCTAACAGCAGACAGATCCAACTGAGATGAAGGAAGCATTAGCTGCTCACAGCTACTTAAGAACTGTTTAAAAAAAAATGCTAGTCTTGCAGAGAATTAAGAGGCTTTATCCAATTATTTTCTGAGCATAACGTAGGTTGAGATGGATTAATTTAGAATACCATTCTAAATGAATCAAGGAAGTATAACTCACTGCACTCATACCAACCACAAAGCCCTGAAACTCAAAGTTTCACTATAAATATATACTGTATATATCCCAGAAACCATATCCCACTCATATGTAGTGTCACCCTTCATCCATATAAGGTGTCATGACACTGTCTGCAAAGCTACAAAAAGCATGTGCACATTCCTACATTCACATCGAAGTAGAAGAGATGAGAAGGCAGTAAGTTAGAAGCAAAGCGTATTGGGACAAAGCTACATGAGGCACGTCAGGGACACACACACTCCCCCCCCCCCCAAAAAAAATGCCAAACGTTCCTTTGTATTGCTTTCTCTCAGCCTGGCTTAGTCAAACAGTGCCACTCCGTATGTCCCTCCAGCAATAGCAGCAACTATGGAGTTGTCACAGTGCATCCTCCGAGCAAGTTGGAGATGACAGCAGTTAGAAGTTTGAAGGCACTAAACACAAATCTGTTCAAACTTCCATCGTTTGCTGCTGTGCTGCGGAGCAGGAGGCAGAGCTACCACACTGAAAGATGTCAGCTGGAAAGCAAAAGAGAACAGTATGCATTCCACTAATGTCTGGGGCAGAAGGGGTTGATTGTTTTTAAGACAGTTTAAAACAAAGATTACAAAACAAAGAACAGCTAGATACAGCCAGAGAGAAAGGGGAGAATAGGTCTCATTCATAGAATCACTTCGGTTGCAGAAGAACTTTAAGATCATCGAGTCCAACCATCAGCCTAAGACTGCCAGGTCCACCACTAAACTATGTCCCCAAGCACCACTTCTGCTCATTTTTTAAATACCTCCAGGAATGGTGACTCAACCATTTCCCTGCACAGCCTGGTCCAATGCTTGATAACCCTTCCAGTGAAGACATTTTTCCTAATATCCATCCTAAACCTCCCCTGGAGTAACTTGAGGCTGTTTCCTCTTGTCCCATCGCCTGTTACTTGGGAGCAGAGACTGCCCCCCCCTCGCTACCCCCTCCTCTCAGGGAGCTGTAGAGAGCCAGAAGGTCTCCCCTCAGGCTCCTTTTCTCCAGGCTGAACACCCCCAGGGCCCTCAGCCGCTCCTCACCAGACTTGTGCTCCAGACCCCTCACCAGCTCTGTTGCCCTTCTCTGGACACACTCCAGCACCTCAATGTCTGTCTTGTCATGAGGGGCCCAAAACTGAATGCAGTACTCAAGGTGGGAGCCAGCCTCACCAGCGCCAAGTACAAGGGGATGATCACTGCCCCAGTCCTGCTGGCCACGCTATTCTTGATACAGGCCAGGATGCTATTGGCCTTCTCAGCCAATATTCATGCAAACTAGCAAAGATTTTCAAAGTGCAACAGAAAAGAACACTTCACTAGGTCTTAACTGAGCTACTTGCCCAGTGATGAGAACACCAAGAACCCAGAAACCAAATTAGCTTTCCTATGTATTTCTGTAGACGCTTCACTAATGAACTGTCAACTTCAAGTTAAAAGGTTCTAGAATAAGTTTCTTAACAAACTATTCCTGATTTCAGCCAACATATTTCTTGCTCTAGAATGAAGAACAACCTCTTCCTCTCTCTTCTTGATTTTCTACTGTACGCTTGTGAAAGAGCCAAGAGCTTAATTATTCTCCACCATCAACTGACACTTGGAACATTTATTCAACTACCCCTTAGAATACAGCTTTAGAGTGTGAAAATTTTATTTTTGTGCTGTAGGCACAGAGAAGCCACTAGGCCTGACCCGCTGTCCCTTAGCAAGGGACATAGAAAGTGCTACAGGTACTAAACATGCTATCAGCTTCAGCACTGTTTCCCCACCCACCCCCCTATATATACTGACAAAACTCACATTAGTGTTCAGTAGTGGGAATCCCTCTGCCACCTTACACCCAGGCTGCTGCCGGTCAGTTTAGCTTCAAACACAGTCGTTTCTCCTGCTATTTTCCTGAAGCTCATTTCTTTGTATTTGTCAGACTCCACTGCTCTGGTCACTGAAGTTTCTTCAGCTGGGAGGATGAGTAAAACAGCTAACATCTGTCCCCTCCCTTTAACAGAAGCCACAGGAAATCCAATCAAAGTTTTCTGGTCAACTATAACTACTCTCTCAAGTTTTATCTTACCACAGTCCTTTAATAACCAAGGAATTTTTTTTTTAATAAGATGGCTCACCATCAACAAAACCAAGCTGCAAGTCTGTCCAGTCCTCTCTGCCGTCCCTTCCCCAGCCACCACAATGCCCCTCTCCCCAGCGCTCATGTTGGGGTACTGGGTGGGAGCAGAGCACAAGGTGGAACATCAGCCTTGCAAAACCCACACCACCATCTGCTCTAAGCACCAGACCAAAGGTGGTGCTCAGCTGTTGGTCAGTAGGGGTACTGGGATGACCAGGGTGTTGCTCCATGTCCTCCAGAGCAACAGCAGTCCGGCAGGCTGACGTGGCCCACAAGTCAATTTTGTCTGGCAAAATGCCAATCTGTCTTGAACAGCATCTCCTTTGCTGAAAGAAAAGGGAGAGTTAACCCCTATCCCAGCCCAGGAGTTTTCATTTTTGGTTTACAGGCTATCAACATGAGTGTATCATTGCTACTTGCTGGCCATTAAAAACAAAAGATAATCCCATGCTGCTAATACTCTTCACTAAAATGGTCTGTGGTTTGTTAGAACTCAATCAGTAGCTAAATGCTTCCCATGATGAATTCTGGCAATCTAGCCACTTCAAAAAACATTGAGATTTCACTCCTCAGCAGTTCACTTGTTTTATAAGCAATACTCCAAAAACCTTGAACAAAAATGGGACACAATTATTTGGCTTCAAGCTGCACTGCCCCATTCAGCTGCTTTGATTTATTTTTGTTAAGTTTTCATTAATCAAAACTATTCTCCATTATGCTTGCTCTTGCTGGTAGCTTCACATCTTTCATTTTTTTTATCTGTATAGCCTCAGCAAGAAAAACATTTTTAACTGAGTTATCTAAACTGGTTTAATTTTAATAGCCTGCTGTACCCAGCTATTTGTCCAAAATAAATTCAGGAAGTTTCTCTGGAGGTTTCCAGAGCAATGTGCACATACACATGTTTTTGACCAACAAGTGTAAGCAGCCTCCAGACCACTGCAAAAAGCCCCTTGGAATAAGGTACCTTCTCATAAAAAGTTTAAGGAGCCAAGTGCAGGAGGAAAGAGGAAATAATCCTTAAAAATACCAGTTGTGTATAGGAGTTCTTTGATGCACCAGAGTAACTAATTAAACCAACACTGTGGAATAGAGAGAATTAGCATATCACCTTCTTCTGCAATCAAGTACTATTGCAATGAATTTCATAGCAAAGCCAAATGAATTTCATAGCAAAGCCACTTGCTAGTCAGATGGCTACAACATTAGTAGAAGACAACTGAAAAACAGTTCACAAAAATCAGGTTTTATAACCACAGAATCAGGTTGAAGAACTACACAAGACAGGTCAGTGAGTGACCTTGTTGTACACCTTGTCCTACTCATCCTGCATGCCCACAGGCAAAGCTGCTCTAGTGGGATCAGTCTGACAGCATTCCTTCGAGTCTTTCATTGAAGGGAGATACTCAGAATTTAAGTTTGGATTTTTGTCAGTAATACCAAAAGACAAGTATTACTTCCCATTGATTCAAGGGGTTCAAGTACAGTTATTTCTCATCTCTTTATTCATAACTGTCAGAACAGTCCAGCCTGTAGCAAAACATTCAACAATTTAAAACACTGTTTAAAGCCCCCTTTCATTCAAAAACTGGCTTTGCTTCAGCTTTGTTTTATTTCACCAACCATGCAGCCTACTGAACTCCAATACTTCAACTGTGATCCCCATCTATCTACTGCAGACAACGAAAACAACTTCTCCTTTAGTGGGCTTCCTACTGCTATGGACTAGCATGGACCAGGTACTTCACAACAACCAAGGAACTGAGAGAACCAAATTAATCAAGCAGGAAGACTGCTAACAAAGTGTTTCCAAAAAACTAATGGGCTTAGCTTCCCTATAGAGCAGTGATACACATGCACTCTCATCAAGCAGAAGGATCACTTAACATGAAGAATGCTCCTGCAATGTGCTCTTTGAGGCAAAACGAGGTCTCCCAGTGTAATGCAGCACAGCTCTGACCCAAGTTTCCACTGCAAGACTTCCCTTTACAGAGTACCTAACACCCCAAAATTCGAGGACACTCGTTCTTGAGGCAGCTCCTCTGTGCAGAGAATCATGCCATTTATAGCTTGTCAACATGTTTAGCTATGGTTTAATCACTGCATGACCCACCTCATCTTCTCAGCGGGCTTCTGTGCTGTTCTCTTACACCATTACCAACAGTCTGCCATTTCTGATGAGCAATTCCATCTTCCTGGTTCTGCCACACCTCAGACCAAAAGCGCAGGTAGATGCAAATTCAATATGTAAACTCCATGGCTGAGTTTCTTC